AACCTCTCCAGAGCTTCCCAAACCTCTCCATTGCTTCCAAAAAGCTCTTCAGAGCTTCCCAAAACCTCTTCAGAGCTTCCAAAAAAATCTCTCAAGCTTTCCAAAATCTCTCTAGAGCTTCCCAAACTTCTCCTGAGCTTCCCAAACCTCTCCTGAGCTTCCCAAACCTCCTGAGCTTCCATAAAACCTCTCCAGAGCTTCCCAAACTTCCCCAAAGCTGCCCAAAACCTCTCCAGAGCTTCCCAAACCTCTCCAGAGCTTCCAAAAAAACCTCTCCAGAGCTTCTCAAACATCTCCAAAGTGTACAAAAACCTCTCAAGCTTTCAAGAAACCTCTCCAGAGCTTCCATAAAACCTCTCGAGCTTCCATAAAACCTCTCCAGAGCTTCCCAAAACCTCTCCAGAGCTTCCAAAAACCTCTCCAGAACACCCAAAAACCTCTCCAGAACACCCAAAAACCTCTCCAGAGCTTCCAAAACCTCTCCAGAGCTTCCATAAAACCTCTCGAGAGCACCCAAAAACCTCTCGAGATTCCCAAAACCTCTCCAGAGCTTCCCAAACCTCTCCATAGCTTTGAAAACTTCTCCAGAGCACCCAAAAACCTCTCCAGAGCTTCTATAAAACCTCTTGAGCTTCCCAAACCTCTCCTGAGCTTCTATAAAATCTCTCCAGAGCTTCCCAAAACCTCTCCAGAGATTCCCAAACCTCTCCAGAGCTTCCCAAAACCTCTCCAGAACACCCTAAAACCTTTCCAGAGCTTCTAAAACCTCTCCAGAGCGTTCAAAATCTCTCCAGAGCTTCCCAAACCTCTCCAGAGATTCCCAAACCTCTCCAGAGCTTCCAAAACCTCTCCAGAACACCCAAAAACCTCTCCAGAACACCCAAAAACCTCTCCAGAGCTTCTAAAACTTCTCCAGAGCGTCCAAAATCTCTCCAGAGCTTCCAAAACCTCTCCAGAACACCCAAAAACCTCTCCAGAACACCCAAAAACCTCTCCAGAGCTTCTAAAACCTTTCCAGAGCGTCCAAAATCTCTCCAGAGCTTCCCAAAACCTCTCCAGAGCTTCCAAAACCTCTCCAGAACACCCAAAAACCTCTCCAGAACATCCAAAAACCTCTCCAGAGATTCCCAAACCTCTCCAGAGCTTCCAAAACCTCTCCAGAACACCCAAAAACCTCTCCAGAGCTTCCATAAAACCTCTCCAGAACACCCAAAAACCTCTCCAGAGCTTCCCAAAACCTCTCCAGAGCTTCCCAAAACCTCTCCAGAACACCCAAAAACCTCTCCAGAACACCCAAAAACCTCTCCAGAGCTTCTAAAACTTCTCCAGAGCGTCCAAAATCTCTCCAGAGCTTCCAAAACCTCTCCAGAACACCCAAAAACCTCTCCAGAACACCCAAAAACCTCTCCAGAGCTTCTAAAACCTTTCCAGAGCGTCCAAAATCTCTCCAGAGCTTCCAAAACCTCTCCAGAACACCCAAAAACCTCTCCAGAACACCCAAAAACCTCTCCAGAGCTTCTAAAACCTTTCCAGAGCGTCCAAAATCTCTCCAGAGCTTCCCAAAACCTCTCCAGAGCTTCCAAAACCTCTCCAGAACACCCAAAAACCTCTCCAGAACACCCAAAAACCTCTCCAGAACACCCAAAAACCTCTCCAGAGCTTCCAAAAAAAACCTCTCAAGCTTCCCAAACCTCTCCCGAGCTTCCCACCTACCCCGTGGTTGCCAACCCACAGCATCTCCTCGTGCAGGTCGAAGTGGGAGACGGAGACGGGCACGCCGACCTCGGAGACGGCGGTGTGCAGCTCGCTGTACATCCCCTCCATCAGGTGCACCGACTCCGGCACCGGGAGCCCCTCCAGGGACACCCCCTCGGGGTCCAGCTCCACCAGGTTGGGGTTCAGGTGCGGGTCCAGCACCGGCTCCAGCGCGGGGTGAAGCGGCGGCGCGAACTCGGCCAGAGAGGGGTTGAGCCCTTCGAAATTCATGGTGAATGCCGGCCTTGGGGAGGGAAAAGGGAGCGGGATCGGTGCTCGGGGACACCGGGAGAGCTTGGAATGGGGGGTGGGAACGGCGGCGGGAATCTCCCGGGGGATGAGGCTGTGAAATCCCGGAGATCGGGGATCAGAGCGCCGGGAGCTGCCGGGGGAAGGGGCCTGGGGTGGTCACAGGGTACCGGGAAGGGGTCTCAGGGCACCGGGAAGGGGTCGCAGGGCACCGGGAAGGGGTCTCAGGGCACCGGGAAGGGGTCTCAGGGCACCGGGAAGGGGTC